TTTTGGAATGTTTGTGATGAAAAGATGGAGGATGGTGGGATCATTTATATATAGTTGGGTGTGTATGTGTATATAGTAGATGTGATTTAGTTAATCAATTATTGTTATGTTAATTAATAGTCAATAATGTGGTTTTTGGCTATTTGATGATTAGTTAAATATTTTTCTTGATGAAGGATATAGCGAGGAATGTGGTGATGGTATTTCTTTAGGTTATAATAGGGAGACTAGCTAATTGACTTGTTTTTATTCCTGTATAAATATACTAAATTTATCTTCTTCTGCATGTCATATATAATAGAAATTTTGTAATATACATGTATTTTAAAAATGCATTAGGTAAGCTTCCGTTTTACATTGGACTTTAACATTAGTTAGATAAATAGTCCAATATGCAAATCCGTTACGTTTAAAAGAAAAACTTTTTACCGCTCAATCCGTTACATTAACATCTATAATAGAAAGAACGTTAAAACGAGGATTTATATACAAAAAAAATTGAACCAAAAAACAAGTATTTATAAAAGATATAGTGCATATTTCTTTCCTTTTTCCGCTCGACCAGGCGTGATGTTTTGATTGTCGTCTTTCGAATAATGTGTTAATACAGATACAAAAATAGAATGGGCTCCTAGCACCCATAAATATACATGCATAATGAACATTACGAAACAAAAGTTAATATAACTTCGTTGCACCCCACTCTTAGAATTTATCATTGCTCCTGACCCAAACTGTCAAATTCGTGATAAAATTAGCCTTTTATAAATTAGCATATGTTAAAAATCAAGCCCAAAAATAATTAAATGTTCAGAAACAAAAGTAAGATTAGAGATAATTATAAAATAGTTTCTTGATAACCAAATTAAGATAATGTTTTGGAACCTAGTACTTTTCACTTTTCACTAAATACAATGTGTTACTGTATCTAATTTGAAATTCAAATTGCATAATTACATTGTTTAAATGTACAAAAATGTCATGTGTTAGGACAACATGCATATGATGTGATTAACACAACAAAACGTTTATTAAAAATCTATGGAATAGAAAAAAAATGAAGTTTGCAGTGTTGCAAACACTTGTTAATTGTTGACTTAAACTACCCACCAAATACGAATTAACAACTCCGATTCGTTGAAAACAAAAAAAAAACTCCGATTCAGTTATCACTCGATTCGAATCTCATACATTAGATGTAAAAATTTGAACAATATAGATATGAAAAAATTTAGATGAGAGAAGTTTAACAAGTTGGATAACAGATGTGGTTCGCCTAGATATCTAGTAAGAAACGGTATCCCGAAATTCATTATCAGCATTAAGTTACACCCAACAAATTGCAACAACAAACATGAAACCCATGACACCAAATAATACTTTCCAAAACTATTTGATGTTACTACATAAAATATGCAATATTAAAATAACACTTTTAGTAATGACTAAGTTTTATTAATATTAAACTTAATATTTTCCATAACAAGAAAAGAGTAAACAGTTTTACGATAACTCAAACTTAACCCCTTTTTTATCCTTCTGAATATGTAATCCCAAAAAAAAAACTATTTCAATTTATGTTTTTTTTGGACTAACATATATTCATAAAAATTTACATTCATCAACCACCAAATCCAGTTCTCAACGAAATTAGATTCACATTTTCAAGAGAACAACAAAACTATATATAGTTTACCAAAAAAAAAAACTATAGTATATTTTTTCTTTGAGAAAAAAACAACAAAACTATATATGTTCTCCTAAGATGTTTTTTTTTTTTTTGTTCACAAAATGATTCATTCATAAACTCCACTAAATTGGGACCAAAGCCTTTGATCAAACTCATCTTGAAGATCATCACGTATAAAGTGCTTACGACAAAGAGGACACGTCATCTGATTATAACCCATCAACCAACGGTCCAAACATCCTCGGTGATAAATATGCCGGCAATTCGTCAGCTGTCGGATCTCATCATTGTTTTCGAAATCGTAAAGACACACTGCACAATATTCGGATTCCGGTCGGTCTAGATCCGAGAATCGAACAATGGGCAACATCTCTCCGACTACCATCGCTGCTGGGTCATGGTGGGTTAAGAATGAGATTGATGATGAGTCGTGCCATGTGGATGAACCAGTATCGGGTTGTGAGAAATATGGTAAACCCGATACCCGTAAAATTGCGAAGAAAAGTTTTCGGATCAAACCTAAGAAAAATAGTAAATGAAAGAAGATTTTTGGAAGAAGGAGCTCGGAGTAGCCTACGGGAAATCCCATTGCCTTGCTGCTATAGAGAGAGATAGAGAATTTTGATTGTGATGAGAAAATGGAGAAAAGTAGGATCTATATATGAGAAATGGATGATGTAATTGGAAGAAATACAAATCCATCTATTTAATTCTTTTGACCAATGATTATTTTTTTCCAAGTGCATATATAAGATAATTTTAACAACCGTAACGGGACGAATCATGTAGTATATTATTTTAATGTAAACATTCAAATTATCAAATAAAGTTATTCTACGGTTATATTCATACTTTAAAATGTTACTATCCACAATATATTTTATGTTTCACGGTATTTTTAGATGTGGACATATAATCTATCAAAGAGTTATATTTCTTGCCATTTGACAAAGTCATACATTAATTAATGTATTGTAAATGTAATAGTCAATAGTTTGTTTTTGTTTGCGTGCTTCTCTTTGGTGTCTCTGTTTTTATCCGCAACTCGGAGACTTGTTCTTTGCTTATTATAATAACTTCGTTGTTTGAATCTGCCATTTTATTTTAAAAATTGATATTTGCTTATAAGCCAAGTCACATTGGTGAAAAGTCAAACACTTTAGGAAACTTACATATGTTAGAAATTATGAGTTTATCAAGCTCTCTATAATTTGGTGTCCTGAAAAGAGGAAAAAAAATTGTTGACG